CTAAATTAATGATAAAGTTGTAACAATATATATTCGTATTTAAATTACACGTAAACACTATAAAACGAACTAGAATTGGAGAACACAAATTTACTTAAGTAAAAAAATATTTTATCTCAGAGAAAAAAAAAACAAAGAATAAGAAAACAATAAATAAGTTCTGACTTAACATCAGCGTGCTCTCACCTTATCAATTTCTAATAAAACATAAAAAATCACATCCAGGTCTTGACAGTACACGAGAATATAACCCAGCCACCATATCCTACAGAATTTTCGAGAAAACCCGTTTTAAATATTGATTTAAAAACACGGCGTAGCTGGGAAAAGGGGGTACCATAACTCCGGATCTGCATACGGCTGTAAAGTGTAAGATGAATTTTGAGTTTCGTGAAGTAGACGCTCGGGTGGATGCAAACCGATAAATAGACCGGTTGAGGGCCCGGCTCGGTGAATAAACATGAGCGGGCCAGTGGCGGGCCGTCGATGCTGTGCAATTTAGATGCTTTGTTATAAAAGTGCGGTTTCAGGATATTACTGTTCCATTTGTGGGCGCCTACACTGCGTGCCACACTAAGGCGGCCCATTGTTACTTGTCAGTCTTTAAAACTTTGTGAAGCTCCTATATCGTATATTTTAATAATTCTTAGAAAACGACTGCATGAGTGTTGGCATTGAGTGCTTAACTACGAAGATTAACCATAGTAAGTCATTTTTGTAAAAAAAGAAACTTAAAGGGGAATGGCGTTAGCTGCTTAACTTTGAGTCCGTTAAACAATGTTAAGTGTAACTAAGTTCCTACTACGAAGCAAAGACTTGCAAGAACATGTTTAAAAGACGAGTCCTCCACGAAACTATTGAATCAAAAAAACTAAAAAAGCTTTTTGATTCAATAGCTTTTTTTGTTTAAAAAAATTAGTAAATAGCTTGAGTGTGGCATGGCCACGCAGCTTCTGCTCTTGTAAGATTGAGCAGACTCGTTCGAAAAGTACCACAGGTTCACATATAAGACCCTCGTGAAGTGGATGCAACTTTCTCAAGTTTTAGAATTGTCTCGCTTGCCAAATTTTCATATAAAAAACTGGCCCCATCTTTTTATTGTGGTAGGGCCCGGCAACAGTTAATTTTTATTGTGGTAGGCCCACGCAACAGTCTTCGCTGTGGCAAGAATAGGCGGGTACGTCCGTCCGTCCGTCCGTAGGAAGTACCACGATTTCAAAAAAGATCGGCGTGAAGTGCACGTGTTATACTTTTGCGTTTCGTCTGGTGAGTGAAGAGCCAGAGCCCCCTATATCAAAAGACAGTAACGCATCTGCGACCCAACGGTTGTTGCAAATGTCCATGGGCGGCGGTTATCACTTAACATCAGGTGAACTTCCAGCTCGCTTGCCCTTTCATTACATAAAAAAATACATTTCAACTGCGAAAATTTTAAATTCAAACATGAAGACATATTGGGTGTAAGTGTCCGTGATATCATATTTGTGAAAGCATTCGTGACAAGTATTATTTCCCATAGTGATATATGTTTAGAAGAAGAAAAATAAAAGACAAATCTGTAATTGATACACGAATTCGTAAATATTCAATCCGTTACATCAATTTATTGAGACATTAGTCACTAAATATATTAAATCATATCTAGACTCAAACCGATGTAACCAAAGAAAGCGTAGCTTCAATTTTGTTGGCACGCGGTGTACCACGCCACTCGCAAGACAGGCCTCACTCAATATCGGATATTGTTCTTGCAAATGAGTATTTATGTCATCGTTTGTATAAAATGTGCCTCGACGCGCTCCCGGCGCGTTTTTCCTCCTATCGCGCACTGCCTCCTTGTTTATAGACATTTCGAGGATATTTTTTCTTGAAGTCTCTTCTGCCGAGAAGTTGGAGGCGTGCATTGAACGGCCATGTGTTTCGCGCCCTTCAACTAGAAATGTTCGCTAAATCCTTTTACTATGTATTCCTTTTACCATGTCTAAAGAAAATTATTTAATTTTATTGTCATACCTTGTCATGATGAGAGCAAAAAAGAACATTTATGTATAAAATAATGAAACTATCAGAACGTTGAAGTTGGTGAGATGAATGGCATAATCATTTTGTAAATGTACATTAGATGGAGAGTCGACCTGTGCAAGTTTGCGGGAAGTCGATGGATGTCCGTGGTGGAGGCTTATGTTCATTTTAGACTGTTTGAGGTCCGTGGTGGACTCAAACAGGCTGAAATGATGATAATATAGTACGTATTCAAAGTAGGTATGTCCATTTTTGTCGACCTTATGACAAATTATAAAATGCATCTTTATAATTAAACTAAATCATTCTCACGGATTTATTACGTTTCTTTCTTCAAAGAATTTGAAACGTTGGAAATTGAAGATACGCAATAGATCCGTGAAACCTGTTTCATTTATTAATTTTTAGCATTCGCATAAAGTATAACAATAAGGAATTGTTATACACGACCATAACCAAGTGCATTTCAATATTTAAATACCTTTCTAAATAACGAGGAAAACAAAAGACTAATCACGATGATTTAATATTCCTTCTCGCAAAGAAGTTCGGTTCCTGCGTTCATCTTGCTTGTTCTGATACAAACGTCGAGTTGAAACAAATGATTACAGCCTAAAATCATGTTTATATCTAAATTAAATGTAAGCCTACTTTACTAAGGTATAATAACTTCATTAATTTACTGCGAGGACCAATCACTAGAAACACGAACAAATTAAACTTTTTAATATTAGTCGAGATTACAAGTTCGGTATCAGACAAACTCGAAGATGGGGCTTCAGGCGGTGCTCGAAGTAAACCATTGGAACTATGGCCATTTGGTTATATCTTGAGTCAGAAACTAACCGCATGGTTTGCGAGAGTACGCTCCAGTAGGCGGATCGGTAAAAACTCGTCAAAGTTTGCGAAACGCGGCAAGTTTCATCGTTTACAAGCGACTAGGAACACAACATCACATTATAGAGGAACGCCGGTTGTCATAAAGTCACAAATGGCATGCCTACATGATTATCAACTCGATCGGATACAAGTTGTGAGCAGTGTTGTGTTGCAGCGGTGAGTCTACATAGGACTTATCCACTAAGGGAAATTATGTAACTTGGTGCTTGGTAGATTTCTTGTTGGTAAATTTCCTTTTAAGCAGCTTTAAAATCGTAAAACGTCTGAGTCTACGACGTATGAGATTTAATTATAAAATCCACGATGAAGGGATTTCTAATAAAAATGCAGTCTATATTAATAATTGTATTTATTTTAAAATTTTTTTGTTCATACCCCAACATAAGGTTAAACAAAAGGCAAAATTAATGCAAATGAGCATATCGACCCTGGGAGAAAATTTGACTTAGATACAAAAAAAGAACAATTTTATTTCATGTTAATAATTTTAGTGCATAAATAGAAGATGAAAGTAATTTGAGCAATTTTAATAAATAGACAAAAATTGACATGAATGTAGTTCTTAAGTTTTTTCAAGTTTTAACTCTAATATAAAATTTAAATTATCACTTTAAGTAGAATCTAACTATTTATTTGAAAAGAGCTAAATGGTAGAGGGTACATTTCGTTTGAATTGTAATAATTATAGGTCAAAATTCATGAGCTGCTGGTAATAAAAGTATTTATTTAAAGGCTAACCGGTAACAAGTTGAACTTTGATAGGAATACAGTTTCTCAGTTAATGACATACAAAGAAAATCTGTTTTGCCTTCTAAATATCTGATTTCCTTTCCTACTTACAAGGGCCTTAGATAATTGTGTAGACTTTATTTTTGTTAATTGTTAATTTGTTATTTGACACACATATGGTGATAAAGCATTAAAGAAAGAAACATATTTCTCATAAATGCCTTACTAGGTTCATAAACCAACACCATGTTAGACCGATTGGAACCTTGTTCACAGCGGGCGAACTGAAAAAACGCCACGTTTGATTGACAAAAAAAAATTATATGATCGAAATTGTACAGATGAGAAAACAAATACGCTTCGCTTCGTAATATATAAATGTTTTCGGCCCTCGTGATTGGCGAAATGTACAACAAATCGAAATCGTGTGGTAAGTCCCAGCGTGACGATCATCTTCGGTATTTCCGGACCCGCTTTAAAGTACTTCAAAGAACTTACGCTTTTTTCAAAGAACCGCTTCTTTCTACTTTTTTCGAAGACGAGTGTTTAAAAATATTACAGACTTTAATTTTTATTGTAAATTTATTACAGTAGAATTCACATCATTTCCTTTAACGATAAATGATCTTCAGTGAATTGGTTCAGGTATCGAGTGATTGTTTTGGATGCAGAGGGTTGATACTTTTTATATGTTGATACTTTTACGATCGGCATATTATTAACTATGTAGATGCACTTTTTGTTTGGGCCTGAAGACAGAATTTAATGCTTTATGTGTTTTCTTTTTGATGGTACCTAATTTATTCAAAGATGCTGCTGGGTTACAAGTTTTTTTATGGAGCAGATCGTAACCGAGGTATCTCTCTCTTTATTGCTAACTCGGCACAGCTACTACATGGTAAATACCAGAGTAGGTACACTTGCCATTCTAAAGTACTCGTTCAGCATGTCTCAATTTGGTGCAACGGTTTGAGCCACGCGAAGCGGCTTAAGGTGCAGGCACAAAGAGCGTGCAACGTGTTTACGTCTATCGAGCGAATATGACAAAACGATAATTGATTGTCGCCGTATATTAGGCGCGGCAGCGGTTTTATCACCGCGTACGTTTATCGGCGGCGCCGGCGCAGCGCCCGATATCGACTGCTGCGTGCGGAGATGGCGGATTTACATAAAAAAAACCGTTCGACCGTAACTCGGGGCCCGGCTATCGCGGTCCGAACGTATTACCATAAATTAATCCAATAAGGGATCGCGGCCGATCAATTTATCTACATTACTGCGCGGGCGCAGCGGATAAAGGCGACCCCGGGTGGGGCTGAGGCGGGCGCGGCAAGTTATTGCCTCCATTAGAAGTTTACGTCCCCAGTGAGTATTAAGCGGCTCGACGGGCGATTCGGCCGCGCCGATTGACGGACGACAATTACAGCGCGAAGTGTCCCCGCAAGTTGTGCGAGGCTGTCGCGATAAGCTCGAGTGTCCTGACGCCCGCCGTGCTTCGACGGACGCGCCCGAATTAATGCGGTGCTTCGGTTTAACGACGCCCGCCGCTGGCTAACTAATGCCGCGGCTCCATTCTGGAGACGTTGACCTCGTCGTCGAACGGCCGGTGTTAATTTTAATCGGTCCACGAAGGACTCTTGGCGTCGCTGATCGCGATTCGATGAGCCGAGATCTTTGATAAAATAAAAAGAAATAACGCAAATGCCTCTTGGGTAATCATTCTCGATCGGTTACAAGCGCCAACAAATATACTTCGGAAACCCACTAAATTGGGAATTCATATCTGTTACGCCGTACTTGTTGTACTTTATAGTACAAGACACATTCTACTTCACCGCCATTATATTTTATTATGTGTCTCTTACATAGAGCAGTAGTAACGACAATTAATCATCCATCGAGAAAAAGTTTAAAGAAAATAACTATCAACCAAATCATAATTCCAGTGTGAACTAGACTGTAGCCTATCCGACGGGGCTCTTACAATGTAAATCTCATTAGGATCGAGGCAGACATGATGTTTTCTCGTAAATGTCGTAATATTTTAATTGGTCTCTCGTTCTTAATCGTGCAATAACTGTTTGTTAATAACTTTTAGAGAGTATAGGTTAGGAAATTATTCGTCTACAACTGTGTTAGCCAAATCTAATAATCTGTTAAGGGGTCCTCAGCATCCTCGATAGGTTCATTTAGTGCATTTATCACTTTATAAATGCTGTATAAGTTACTCCAAAAGGGTGTAAATATATTTGCCGATATAACGCAGCGGGAAAGTAAATGTAATATGTAATTTGGACAAAAAAAAATTAAACACAAAATCAATAATCGCCTTTCCAATTATAGTTTGTTACATCCACGTTAAGTTTGCCACCAAGTCACCGTCTCACGCAATATTGTGCATTGACTTTGGACATTTTAATAGCTAATAAAAATTATATGTTTTAAAACAAGTTTTAGGATAAGTTGAAAACAGGTCAAAATTGTTCTTAACAGTGTTCTATGCTACTTACATCTTACTTAAGAAGGGTTTAAATGTACGACACTCATGAAGCTTCATTTTTTTTTATCAAGCTTGATAGTCATTCATCACAAAGTTAAGAAATGTTTAGTAGTTGGCAGTACACGCACTCTCGCCTTTTAGACACCAATACAGCTATTCAGTCGTCGCTAGTAGAACGATAAGGCTAAGCTCTCAGTACGAATGTGATATAAATAGAATTTGGATCGAGAATCAATATTAGCAATTAATTACACTATTACCAATCTTAGCATCTAACCTCTTTTTTATTTAATTTAATGCATTCAAAAAAAATTGATACTAAATCACACAATCAAGTTATCAGCTTTGTACTGGAGGCCAATTTAAGAATACAGAAGATTCTTGAATATTCCTCGTAGTGTGATTATTTTTATATATCAAGTTTGTCACATCACTGTATTCTTAACCAACGGTATAATATATATACTGGTTTAATTCGAGTACAAGAAGCGCACGGGTGATAAAACCGTGGTATCTCAACGTTCGGTGACCACGTTCCATAACAAATTTGTACATTCGTATGTTTATTATGAGCGGCCGTTTCGTCAAACTCCAATGACCTTTGGATCGATCAACTTTTAGATATAGATAAGGTGCCTCCTAGGAGAGATTGCGTTAAAACTGTCAATAAAGATGGTATCTCACCATCTCTAGGCGGTTGATAAAGATCTCGTTTTGAGCAATTTTTACGAGAGTCGTGAGTTCTTGTTGTGATATTTTGAATAATCGCCTTATCTCGACATCATTTCACATAAATTAAAGTAAATTGACGCATATGTAATAATACGAGAATTAAAGCATCAGTCATTTCTAATTGGGATAGTTTCTTAACAGGAAATTTGTTTAGAATACTCAAAGTTTTGTTATCATGTTCATTCTTATTACCTTATGATAATGCATTACTTTTATTTATTTGAAAGTAAAAAATGTAAAGTAACAGACTATATATATATATATATATACATGTCCCACTACTGGGCAAATGCTTCTTCTGTACAGTGGGTATTTAATTGTACTTATTTACATTTACATTTTTTTTTCGTTAAATTTAATGAATCCAAAAGGCAGATTGCATGCTTTTAAACATTCTCTACCATTGAACTTATGTTTTGGTGAGATCGTTTTATCATTTCAAAGAGTTGAAGAAGTGGCGCGCGTAACAAAAAGCAAGGACGCTCGATCTGAATTGTTTGTTAGAAAATATACTAATGCAATTATTTGTAGCGCAATTAATAAAAAAAAAACTTAACAGCCTTACCATTTAAATACTATATTATAATTACGGGATGCTATCTAGGATACTCATGAAAGGTATTGCTGTAATATACCTTTTGGGATACAAGGTGAAATGATTTTGGCGCAGTCACCTGAACTCCTGTTGATATTTTGCACGGCTACTGCCACAATTGTATCTGCAAACCTCAACGTTTGCAGCTATTAGCGAAATATTGCTGTTATTGTTTACATGACTAGACTTGATATTGTTTTGCGAAGTTTATTCGAAAAACTATGCGAGGATGTTGGATAGACAAAGGAGTACTCTTCCGCGAGTCTCGCCTTCCGTCCTAAGGTGTGCACGGTGTGAGAAAAAGGCAGGAGGCCCGATAAATCGGACATTTACAGCTTGTTGAATAATCAGAGGCGCTTATTGAAACAATTGTTCGCCAGTGGATTGCGGGAACAATTACCTATACATACATGTGATGGGTCGTCGAATGTGTTAGATATCACTGAATCACAGGTACACATTGAGCTAAATAAGTTCCTTATTTATTTAGAAGATCAGTGGATAACTAGATATAGCAACATAGATATACTACAAACTTCACGTCGTGTTACACCCACCACGCACCGTTCCATCGGTCGTTGTGAACGGTGCGGTAAAGTGTACGCACGAGCAAAAGCGGCGAGCCACGCTTCGCGGAAGCCGAATGGCCGCGGCCTTGGCCTTCGGCGTGAGAACGGGGTCGCTTTTACGGTCCATTCATAACCGGGTCGGCTACGCGCAAGGAACCAACGCCGGTCCCGCGGGCAGTTATCTTTGTCCGTTAAACTATTCGTTAAGGAGCGAGAACCTGCCAAATATTCATAAAGAACTGATGTTAACTGCTATCCGCCGCCCATGGACATTTGCAACACCCGTAACGTTACAGATGTGATCTTCTAATAAAGTGGGTTTATTACCCTCACCGGACTAAACGCAGAAGTGTAACAATTCTATTTCACGCCGGTCTTCTGTGAGGTCGTGGTACTTCCCCGGACGGACTTGCCCATTCGTGCAACAGAGGACACTGTTAAGTGGCCCTACCACAGCAGAATCATCAGTTAGAGTACGTAAATATAAGTGCTAACATTTAATTTATTATGGACCTCAACTCGATATACATAATTAATATTAGATTTGTAAACGGGTCAGGGACCAATCCCTCGACAGATGGATGTGAATATGAATATCTATTGATGTAACATAAAGTGTATAAAAAAGAAGGCGTGCTGAGTAAAGTAGAACGAAAACTATTGCAGTAAAGTCATTAGCATGAAACAGTTTACGAGTAGTACATAGATAAAACATGGATAACTAATCGCCTGGATGGTTCACTTATGCACAGTTTACGTGATTATTAATTTTGCATATCCAAAAGCACATCTACAGCTCTCAACTTAACTTGTGACGTGACGGCAGTAGCTTTACTTTATTCTTGCGTTTGTAGAACGCTGCCATTACCATAAATGACAGTGAAGCCAAAGCCACGGCATTTAAAAGAGCACATTATTTGTTTTGAAATCGATAGGTAAGCGTTTAAATTACACGGAGCGGTTGAATTTAAGAATGCGTTTAGAAAATGCTCGTAAAATTTCCGGATCGACTGACTATTTACCGCTTTCTCGTGCATCGGCCATAAGTTTCGTTAAACAAGACATTAAACTGATGGAGATTTTCACTCAATACGCTCGTTACTATTCAATATTTCTAAAAGTAAACGGGTACCGGCTAAATAATGATATTTCTTATTGGTATCAGTCGCACTGACTTACGCCGTAACATTATACCTTTGTGTTACGATAAAATTACACGTTTTAAACTATTTATTACGTTAATTTTGATTTGATCGAATATAAAACGGCGGGTTTAAACGAAACGAACAGTTTCTGTTTTTTGAACATTCCATAATTCATCAGACTTAAATCTAAGATTAATTAATATAAATATCGAATAACTATTTTTATTCAGTCATAATGACATGTTTTTGTTTTGACATTATTATATTACGATGTTTCTTAACTGACAACTATTGTTCATTTCGCAATGTTAGTTACATAAATAGTTAATGACTGCGGACCCAGAGTCCTACATTGTCACAATCGAATTTTAAATGCTTAGATGAGCATCATATTTAACAATTTTATACGTTTAAACAATAAGGTGGGATTGTAAGTAGGCTATCACGTTAAAGCATTTAAATGAAGCGTATATTACCTCAGAAGCTGTAAAACGGGTGTGCCGGAGTTGCCGTCAGGGGCGCTTCCTAGCGTCTCACCTCTCGATAAGCGGGCAACAAAGGCGGTCGTAACTCAACGCGACAGTTCAGCGGGCATCGACGCAACTTCTGCGCTGAGGAAGCGGCGTCGGAAAGCACCGGCGCTGGCCTCAGTCCGGTTTAATTACGTCTGTTCTTCCCGACCTTCCGCTCTTCAGCTAGAGAATGAGTAAGCTTCGCACGCATTCCAACTGTGGCCTGTCGCTGATGTGCGTATAATATACTCGTGATAGGGTATCGACTAATTAAGCTATCGAAATGTTGTTTTCTTTTTTATGTAAAAAGGTGGCAAGTGCTCATTATCGCACTCATTATCGAACTTCCCCGAAATGGCCTGCCCATTCGTGCAACAGCAAAAGTTGATGCGAGGCTTACCTCAGTATAACTATTCTTATTCGATTTCAAACCTGGTGCATCTTAGGCGGTGCTTCTTTTAATCCTTTGCACTTTTAGCGCGATATTTCTTCTTGATATTGGCACTTCTTTCTATTGAAAAGTTATGTTGTTAGTGTTAAACATCTTATATGTTAATTGGGGAACATGCTAGATTGTAAGTATTGGTGTGGATTTCAGTATAGCTTAATGTTTTGCTCGTTCATCTCAATATTAGATTGATTTTTGTAACCATAATTATTTAAATTTATCATTATTACTTCGCATCATTTCATAATATGAGAATCTACGATAATTATTGAGGTACACCGTAACAAAGAAATCGCTCGAGTTTCGTATTACAAGGTCGAGCCCTCGGCCAAACATGACACGTCCAAGAGCGGCCAAATGGAACAAGCCGTCAGCTATCACTCATCCGTCTACCGCGACGTGACTCCCGAAATTGGCTCCGTATTTACGACACGCAGACGCGCGAACGCCTCTATCACGACGTCGTAAAGTCGCTAATTGCCCTCATAGACCGCACTACGGCGGGGCGGCCGTGCAATTTCGGATCGTAAAATCCGTAATTCGCGCGGGGTCTGATGGATCTGTCATCACGGCTTTATGGCGCCAAATTATACGGCGCGGTGCGACGCGGCACCGTTTTTCTCGCACTGGTCCCAGCCCGTGCCGATTCCGCAAATTGGGTCGGCTGGTGGCCAGCCCTCGATGCCCGACCGTCGCCATCGGAATTAGGTAGATGCGATACCGACCGCTGACCGTGTCATTACGATGATGTGATTTTTAATGAGAGCTTAATTGTGATATAAAGGTATCTTATGTTTATTACCTGTAACTGTGGCAGGGCCACGCAACAGTCTCCTCTGTTGCACGAATAGGCAGGTCCGTCCGGGTAAGTACCACGACCTCACAGGAGACCGTTGTTGAGTGAAAGCGCTACACTTCTGCGTTTCATCTGGCGAGTTAGGTGGCTCGTTTGCCAGCTTCTCACATAAAAAAAAAGCGTCTGATGTTTTGTTGTTGGTGCTACCACGGGGCTTTTTTGTGGTTAAATATTAATCAAACCCGATGTAAACAACGAAAAACTATTGGATAAATACTGGTTAAATAATGGTACATTTAGCTATTATACTAAACCTATCACTATTGTTAAAGCTTGCGTACCCGCTACTTTATTTATTGACGCATCGACTATTTGTCACCCTTCTAATGACAAATAATCAATGTTGCTAACAGTTGCATTTAAAAAAAAAAGATATTTCTGATCTATAATAATTAATAAATAATATAATAATAGGTTCTGTAATAATTACTCTTAATAGTCATTGAAATACCGAAAAAGAGAGGTCCGAGTGGTAAACAAATGTAAGGACATTTTAATAAGGTCATATTAAAAAAAATATTTGGATTGGCATCTAGAGGAGAGAATTCGTTCTTTTTATTAAACCCTTAAATTTTAAATACATTCCTAAATTAGGAAAGGATATAACAATAGATGGCGCCAAGCATTGCTTCAAATGCTAAGAAAACAATGTAGAGGAATGCGTTAAGATTTTCGTCGGTGTGGTCATCAGCCGTTTAGCTCAGTGGCTAGAGCGTCAGGCCGCGAACGCCGAAGACGTGGGTTCGATTCCCACAGCGGTGACAATCTTTTCGCACTTTTTCTACATATTTTAATGTTCATTCTTAAGTGCAAAGATTAGCACTATAAACAATTTAAAATTTCTAATAATTAACATTCCTAAATTGATTAAATTCTTTTTAAATTAAAAATACCTAAATTACCTACGCTACAATACCAGCTCAATGTGATTATTAATTCTCTTGCTTTAAAAATAACGTTGTTCTGGTATCGTACGTACCGAAATATAACCAAATAACTTATGCGTTATATTACTTGCCCGTTATTCGTACTTAAGCTACGTCAAATATAAATCACGCGCACAACTTTAACGGTCTGAACACTTTCGGGCGAAAACCGCGGGCCCGGGCTAATGTGCGCGATAAATTGAGACCGATTCATTCCGACAAATCCGACCTTGCGGCACAATTAAAATCGGAACCGACCGCGGGCCCTCGGACTTAGCCCCGCGTCGGCCTCAAAGGCGCTCGCTGACTTTACGGTCATAATAAAGGAGGTATTGCTCTCGCCGCGGCTGCGCCCGCGCGGATAAAACTGTCATTTTATTGTCAGCCGTCGGCCGCGGCTGTTGCGCCGAGATGTATAATTACGGCGCGGTAATCGACGTCGGGGGGGTTTTCGAACGCTGCCCTGATACGTCTGAATAAAATTTCGCGTCCGAACGCGACGTTTGATCCGTAACGACGCTTACTTAACTGGATTGGACCACGTGAATGTCCGCGTAACGGAGTCTGCCAGACGATGAAGTCCACTTTCCGATTAAGAAAGACAGAAAGAAAACATTTATTGCACAACAACAGACATAATTAACAAAACGTCTCTTGGTAACGGCCTATGAATAATCTTGTTGCAACTGGCAGTTGTACCATTGCGATTGCGTTTTATCCATTACACGTTTATGAGAGTGTTGTATTTCTACTGACTACAGTTATAGGTAGCGGTGATGCTATAGGTAATGAATTCGATGGTGTATTTAAATAAAAAATGCCACTCCTTGAACGTCGGTTACAAACGATAAAGCTTCAACTTTAATGGCATTTCTGAATTTCAGAACTAAAAATGGTGCTTTTCTAACATTAATAAAGAAACAATGAAGTATATCATTTTGAAACTCATTTGTAGTATGTAGTTGAAACAAAATAAAATTACTTCTTTATTTTATTTGTTGGAACATAGCTTTGAAATAATCTATACAGATAAATAACATTGGAGTGTCTGTTTGTATTATGAAACTAACCGCTTTTTACTAAATGCATATGGATGTATACATGGTACATATACCAAAATAACATTTTTTACAATTTTTGTCTGTCTGTCTGTTTGCTCCGGCTAATCTCTGAGACCGCTGGACCGATTTGGACGAGACTTTCACTGGCAGATAGCTGATGTTATAAGGAGTAACTTAGGCTACTTTTATTTTATATATTTTTTGATTTTAAATTCCACGCGGACAAAGTCGCGGGCACAGCTGGTTATTGATAATATAATATGTCCTTGGCATTAGCGTGTTCAGATGTATCCGGATCGGATAGGTGATAAATAATTTTGAAATTATCATACTTTAAGCGCTGCATACAAAATTTTATTATTCGTGTTATTTTTATTCCCTGCATACTGCTTTTTCTGCGGTATAGCCATGGCAGCCTCTGCCATTGCATGAATGGGAGGCTTGTCTGGGTAAGAACCACGGCTTCACAGGAGATCGGGATCAAGTCGATGCATTACTGCCTGCTGAGGGAAGACCCGGAGCTCGTCCATTTAAAGAATGCATCGTATCTGCAACAAGCCAGTTGTTGCAGATGTCCATGGGTGGCGATTCACTTGACACGAGATTAATCCTCAGCTCGCTTGCCTTTCTTAGATAAAACCAACTTAATAAGACTGATAAAATTCTGTCTTTTATTATACAATATTCCTGTTATTGGCTGTCCCTGATACTCCTGTCTTTCGGCTGACAACTCAGTGTCCGGGTGCTCGCTTTAAATTAAACATACTCGAGCAACCTCAGCTGAGTTCCAATGGAATTGTTTATTACAATTTTACGTGCTGACTTGTCACAAAATCGCGAGGAAACCGGCATGTTTTCGAAATAATAATTAAAAAGAAATTGAAGAAATGTGAAATTAGCCAATCAGTGGTATCGCGCGGTGGAGTACGCCCTAATACCCTCTGTATGGAGGAGGTCTTTGCCCCGCAGTGGAACGTATTGTTACATTAACTCTAAACTTTACAGAAAGTGTACATTTCTGCTGTTTGTTTGTTACTTTCGTATAAAAAATGTTACTTGTAATTATTGGTTTAATACATCAGATTTCAGGATAGCAATGTATTCTTCTGGAAAGATTTGCGGGAAGAACAGACAGCTTGCCAAATGGTCAATGCTGTCTATGATATTTGTATTGTGGAGTAGTCAGTGACCTATTTAAGATAAGCTCCATATGTTTCATATATTTTATTACTCGTATTTTTGTTTTATTTAAAATATTCTTCCAAACGTATGCATTCACAGTTCATTGGCACGATATTTTACGTAGTAGGGTATCGTCTTAATTGTACCCGTTATGTAAAGTAACAATTTAATTCTTATCTTGAAACGCGCGCAAAATCTTTAAAATTAAATTGTGTTTTGTTGCGATGGTGTCGCTTTAACGATACACATGCAAACCGATAAAAATATAAGCTCTCACTACCTAATTGAAACTCAATTGATTTAAAATTTTCGGGAATAATAAACATTAAAGGTTTTCTTTTATATAAAACGGTCAGAGAAATGCACATTACAAATAATTTTCCGTATCAATTAGTAGTAATCAATAGTTACCAATTAACTGTGGTAGGGCCACGCAGCAGTGTTCGCTGTTGCACGAATGGGCAGGTCCGTCCGGGTTAGTACCACGACCTTACAGAAGACCGACTTGAAAAGGTGGCAACGCAACTGCAACCCTTTTTGCTTGCAACTGTCCATTGCAGGCGGTCATCATATAACATCAGGTGAAACCGCCAGCTCGTTTGCCACTCTCTCACATTAAAAAAATTATATTAAAAAAACAAATAATTAACATTTAAATTGCTCAACAGAAGCCTTTTCTAACTGATAAATTATCTTTATTAAAAAAATAGTCCAATTTGCTCAAAGAATGTTGTTAGTCTAAAAAAAATCTTAATCAGCTTATTAGTTTCGCGAATTATTGTCGAATAACAAAAAGAACATGTTTATAAATTAAGTATAGGCCACTACGAGCACTACACTTATGGATGTGGTATCTCCGGTCCGAGCGCTCGCCTCTAATACAGGTCGGTTGTGGCATCAATGAGATTGTTAATTGCATTTTTATTTGCTGATTTATCGCGTGGTTTAAGTGAAGGAAGACATTATGAGGAAACCTGCATATTAAATACATAATTTAAATAGAAAAGTAAAGTAAAGTAACAGCCTATACATGTCCCATTGCTGGGCAAAGACCTCCTCTGTACAGAGGGTATCAGGGCACAGTCCACCATGCGGCCCCACGGCGGATTGCCAGACTTCACATATCTTCGAAAAATATATATTTTTGTTATTATTTCGAAAATATGCAGGTTTCCTCACGATGTTTTCCTTCACTGCGGAGCACGTGATAAGTCAGCACTTAAAGTTAAAAACTTCATTGGTGCCGGCACCGGGGATCGAACTCAGGTTGCTCGAGTATATTGAATTAAAGGCGAGCGCCCGGACACACTGAGCTATCACGGCTCTTAAATATAAATATGAAGATAGCAAATCCACACAGGGGTCGTGTGGCAGACTTTGCTTTAATACGAAATAGTACAGAGACTTGTAATATGTTTGCAGCAGCTTCCGCTGTTGCACGAATGGGCAGGGTCGTCCGTTGGATTACCACTACTACACAGAAGACCGGCGTGAAATGGAAGTATTATACCTAACTTCGCGTTATGTATGGCGAGTGAGATAGCTGGGGCTCATTTTTTTGGGTTCCGTACCCAAGGGGTAAAACCTATTACTAAAACTCCGCCGTCTGTCCGTCCGTCTGTCACCTAGCTGTATCTCATGAACCGTGATAGTTAGATAGTTGAAATTTTCACAGATAATCTATTTCTGTTCCGCTATATCAACAATACCAAAAAATTTTAAAATTTTTTTTATGCTTGCCAACAAATTTGCAACCCAATGTTTTAGTTGTCTATGGGCGACGATAATCACTTAACATCAGGGGAATCACCTGCTCGCTTGACAATTTACCCGTGAACCGATAATACTCTATAATGGGAAAAATTAAGTGTGGATGTGATAATTTTAATGCATAAATTATTTTATAAAGCATACAAGCGAATCGCACATTGCAACGAAACAGTTCTTTTCTTTAAATTAAAAGTTGGTAAATGCGCAGGCGGTTTACCTGAGGTTAAGCGACTACCGCCGCCTCTATATATATCTACTACACCTGATGGGTTGCCAACATTAAAAAAATGGCAAACAAAGCGAAAGTATACTACTGCCATGAAGTTGTGGTACTTACGACGAGACCGCCCATCCGTGCAACAGAATCCTGCGTCTCTCCACCGCAGTGGCAGTTCGTGGCGCGAACGCTCATCCGTTTACATAAGTTGGGCCAACTCAGCGGCGTAACGAAAGCGGCGCAAAAAGTTTACGACGGCCGTAAAGCCGCTGCCGGCTACTTGGGCAGCAGCCGGCCGGCGTATACGTCACCGCGTGTGGCTTTTTTTTTATCGGCCGCCAGTTTATGCACTCGTAAACCGCCCGCGGCCCTTCCGTCACATATTATAAAGCCGATGCGCGGTCTAACCGGCCTTTTTATTGCCACCGTGCAAATTAAACGGCAAGAAAGTGACTCTAAGTGACTCTAGCTATAGTAGAGAATGGTTGTTATCGGTTAAAGGTGTCTTTTGGCACTATTGTACAGCTCAATTAAATTTGTTTCATATATAATTAGGTAGGGTTGTAGTTACAAGTAAGTGTGGTAGTTATTTGTCAGATTTTGTTTGGTTAGAAGTAAGAAGATTTTTAAATCAAGAAAAATAAATTGTCTTTATTACTAGACATATTTTATTTATTGGATTGATTGGATTTTTAGATCATTGAATCTTTCCAAATTATTAAAACTTTCGTGAGACATTATGTTTGTGAGTCTCTACAAATTGTTCCTGTCAAATTTTCGGATTGTCGTGTAGACTGTCGGATTTCGGTTTTAAGCCTAGTGTCACTTGATGAAAGCTAATTTTGTCTTTTTTTATTATTAAAAACCTTATAAATTCATTTATGATTGATTTTACCTTACAGTGCCCCAAAGTAGTAAATAGTAAAGTAACAACCTATAATGGTCCATTGCTGGGCAATGTCACCTTCTGTATAGAGGATGACACCACCACCACGGAACCCCACTGCGGATTCGATTTCACATATCTTCGAATTTTTTTTTGTTTTTATTTCGAATGTATGTAGGTTTACGATGTTTTCCTTCACCGTCTAGCGAATGATTCAGCCCGTAAATTTGAAATAAAAAGTTTCATTGATGCCGGTTTCATCGGGGATTGACCTCAGGTTTCTAGAAAGCGCTCAGCTATCGCATCCCGAAGTAAGAAAACATCCTTACCATCGTGATGTTAATTAAAAAAATAGAGACCGTGGAAGTAGTAGGTCGTGTAAACGCCTGCCTCGGGCTGAATTTCAATCGGCGGCGAGCCGAAATATATTAAGCAAGTGTACCCATCAGATCAAGCGCGCTGTCGAACAATGGACGAAGTAGCACGCCTCATTGGGGGCGAATTTGGGGCCAAGGGGCGACAGGGAGCGCACCGTCCGCGGCCGAGTAGGCACAACAGCCGCGGACGGGAGCGCGTTGCGCGGGAAAAGCGCCGCGGCGGGTGTGCGCGGTGGGCGGCGGGCGGGGGGCGTTGCGGCCGCGGACGCCGCCCCGTCGCGTGCGAGCGGGACGGCTAGAGCGCGAGGCCGCTGCACGCCGGCTGCAAGGTCACGTCGCGCGGCCGTGTTTTGATTTGGCATCGCCGGGCCCCGCTCTGCGCTTAATCGCTCGCAGCCGCTAAGTTGCATGTCTGTGGAGGGGTTGCTTCTTTGGTGTCATCGTGGAATGAGGAAAGTCTGTTGCAACGATTATAGAAATTTTGTGTCTTCACGAAGAAAGTCTTTAATTTGATGTCAGATATTGTTATTGAAATATTTAATTGGGTACATTTTTAGTTTCGAAAATCTTCAGTTGAATTGAGCTTGGGGTTATGAATTAACAGCAATGACTAGTTTGCTATTAATGCTCGGTTTTAGCAGTGCATTTTTACAACAATAAATAAAGTAGTTTTTCTGATTACATTTACAAAGAAAAAGTTTACAGTATTGCAGACACGAATATGTATTTCATAGGTATTTTTCATACAACATTACATTACATAGTTTAATCGCTCATCGCCACTGCTGAAACATTCGTTCCACACACAAAAAAAACCACCGAATCCGCGAACACGAGACGAATCAAAACAAGGAACGTTGACAAGCGCGAGACTCGAGAGGCGCGGTGCGAGCGCGGCGCGGAGTTGCCGCCGGCGGCCGCGCGCGGCGCCCCCGTCGCGCCGTCCGCGCGCCATTCCGGCCGCGGCGCGCGCCCACTCCGCACCGGCCGTGCCCGCCGCCGCCCGCCACCGAGAGCTCCGCGCCGCCGCGACTCCCGCCAAACTTGTGCCGGCTCGCGCGTCCCGATCGTGTGCTGTTAGCCCGTTTTGTGCACCGTTCCGCGGCCCTTGGTCGCAGTGTTCCCCGTTCGGCGTAGAACTTGTGCTTGTGTGCGGACCCGCGCCGCGTTCAACGGTCCACGTGCGCCCCAAAACAAATGTCGAAGTGAGGAAACAAAGGATACTAGTGACGACCGTTGCTTGCTTAGGTGCGAGCGACAGGTGGACCGGTGCACGACGCCCGTCCAGACGTCGAACACAAATATCGAGAGGTAAGAGCGGCCAGTGCTGCGACGAACTTGTCGCGGCCTCAACGAGCTCAGCAGATAGCGCCAGAGTGAAACGTTTTGCGTCGAAGTTTTGCGACCCAACCGAAAAACAAACGTCTGTTTATTCGGTTGGGTCGCAAAAGTTTGGAAACGCGCGAGTCTGAAACCTGAAACTTTGCGACGAGAAGGCAGTGGGAACGCGGCGGCGGCGGGCGCCGGTACTGTTACAGGTGTTTGCGTCGACGGCGAATAGAATTTATGTTGCTAAAGATTAATGTTTACGCGTTTTAGATCAAAAACTTACTCATCACATTTCAAATAATTTCATAGGGTCCATTTACAACGACTTATAAAAATTGGTTATTGGTAATGGTTTCTTTAAATTGAATGAAAGCACAAATTTTGTTTAAGTGTAATATACCTTATTAGAAAGTTATTGTTAACATACATTGCTTTTAATTTAATGAAATAATTAAATTAAAAGCAATATGTACGAGTAAGTTTCGACGAATGATACATAATTAGGTAGGTAGAGCCAAAAAAAACTTATTTCGTAATTTACTCAACCCTTCTAATATTCATCAAAAGCAACTGATCTTATCAAAACATGATATTATTGCTTTACTCATTTAAAAAACCCCGAGAAAACAGCAAACGCTTGGCAAAGTACGTGCAACTTTATTCGGCTCGATATCACCTCCGCGGCTCTATATCGCCAACGGCACGGTCGGCCTATGGCCCGTTTCGCACATCGTGCCGTGTCAGTACATAGCGCGTTTTTTCCCCAATCCGCCATCTTTACTTGTGTGGTGCAGCGCACACGGGGGAGCCGGCGAGCGGCTGCAACGGGGCGAGGGGCGGGCCGCGAGAGCGGGACGCCGCGAGTAAACACGCCGCCGACATTTTGAAATTTAGAACAATAAAAAAATAAATAGAGCGAGGAAAATGGGAGCCAATTCGAAATTGAAATTTTCAATTTCGTTTCCAACACAAAGCTGTTCGAATGGACAAAGCTTTCTTTGAAGAATAATATTAGTATGTTTCCCTTAACTTTTTTTTTTGCTATTCTTTATTTAAACTTGAATGTTGACAGCAGTTTTGCATAGTAAGTGTATCATGGGTACCTGTTTTTACGCTTATTTCTTCATAATACTTTTAGGCGATGGCGAAGCTAAACAATTTTAAATTTGCAAAATCCCACTGTTCATTAAAAAGTTTTCTTATTTTTTGTATTGCGAATCAGCAGTTGTAGTAAATTATTAGATTATTATTATTTTTGGGGGATATTCATTTGATTTCTCGTCTGATTGGGTTTATAAAAAAAAAAGAAACATATAGATACATATTGTATATATAAAATAAATATTATTATTATTTATACTTATTTAGATACTTATTTACTGTGACAGAAATAAACAATAAAAATATTAAAAATATTGTTCATACAAATGCAACATGGGACTTTTGTTGCATATAAATTATATACATTATACTTGCATCGTACTAATGAATAAAATAATATTAACAACTAGCGCAAATGGCACGGTTTTGATGCAAACACTAAATTAAAATTATTCTTTTCTCTTTTCTTATTTATGTTATCTATTTAATTCTAACCTATTATTCATACTGATGAAAATAATAATTATATGGAAAGACATGGCTGCTCAAAGAATAGTCAATAGCCTCTATATATTTGTTCCTGCAGCATGACACGCTGATAAAATAATAATCTAACATTAGCGTAACATCTAATTAAAATATTCGCGTCTAAATAAAAATTTAGTACATCCGTAAAATGAGGCTTTTGAATATTCATTTTTTCGACTAATTAATAAAATGATTTTCAACTAATATTGAATTAGAGTCGGACTTATAAATTTCCATTTTACCGTTGATATTGCTCTGATTTATATTATTTCGATATTTATTATATTCTTTTAACGGACGGAATTATTCTTGTTATAATTAAAATTAATCGACTCCTCGCCGTCAAGGTAAAAGACTCGAGAACTTATTATTTAATACAAAATTTGTAATGGCTGAAATTGGCGAGATATTTATTTACCTTCTTTATTAATTGTGTACTAATCGATTGCGGCATCGAGGGTTCGATTCTATTTATGTGATCCTCAGATAGTTGTTTCGCATCTGGGTGTTTGTCCTCGTGAAATTTATGTTTGTGAAACGTCCTTACAACACAGGATAATGTTATCTTAAAGTAAGGACAATATTTTTAAATAATAAAACAAAACAGATTATAACCGCCTTGTCAGAGGAGGAAAGAACAGGATAAAGTAATCAATGGCTACTTTGGATATATAACTGAAGATAGAGTTAGACAATTGCAGTGCCTAAAAAAAGCATTAGATAGTAGACATTGATCAGTCAGTTTGGGGCGCCCAATTTCGATGAACCTTGTGAGTTTCTGAGTTGTTTAAACCGCAAAATTACTAATTTTCACCAATTCAATGAAAATTTTAACTGTGTTTTTAAATGGTTATGAGGAAAGAGAAGACATTTCAGTTTCTTTCATAATTATTGTTATGGAAGAAACTGAAATGTCTAAAATATGTAAACGGTTTAAATTTGCAATGAAAAAAAATCCAAACGATCTTGCCCATGTCTGTTGGAGATAAATAGATCTGTGAATTTAGTATGTTTTTTATAAACAATCTATTCTGACTTTTGGTGGTGCTCAGAGACTACTACCGCTTTTGGGTAATATCCCAGAAATCTACAAGAGCATTAAGTCGATAAGTTTTTCAACAATAAAAGCTATTGCAACCTAGGTTTCTGCTAATATAAAATGAGTGAAATTTGTTATGTAAATAAAAAAATGATAAATTTGGAATGTTTAGTGTAATTACTCACTTTTAACCTTTAAAAAGCCCTGTACATGTGTCAATCTAATGTACTCTTATATGATTGAGTCTTTCTGATATAACTTTTAACGTCGTTTTGGTGTGCTAACCGCTCCCCATGCCAACCAGTGATGTCGATAATATCGTGAGCCAATTTATGAACAGACCACTAAATCATCTATTAGATATCTTAATGACATTAATAATTGATTGAATTAATATCGTAGAGTATTTCTGCCGTTAGCAAGTAATTAATTTATTTATTTTTGATGAAATTATTTTTGCACATAACTTAAAGCATACTATAATGTATGCACTAAAAGTGTTCCTTTTAATATAGGTAGTTATGAAAATATAGAGTGTTATGTAAATTTAAAGGATTATATATCAGCAAGTTCGAATGCTAATTAACGAAGTTCATTTCCAATTTAGTGACACACAAGTATATTTTAGTTAAGTTCATAAATTTTTAATATATACCATCTTGGTAAACGAAAAGATAACTGCAGAAAAATATAAGTCTATATTAAGATTTTGTATCAATACACATAGATATACAATATACATACATATAGGTGCAATCACCTACCTATTGCTATTATTTCTCATTATTGTCAGTTAAGATGCAGTCATAGATGGACTAAAATCCGTTCAGATCCATTCTGAAGTAAACCATTTGTTTTAACTAATTATTGCACATGATATTGGCGAATCGACTCGATCGATTTGATAATTAGTTAAAGTGTGTATTTTTTCCCTAATTAAATTTGAATCCGATCTTTATTGGAGTGAATTAATTAATATCCGTTCGACTTAGCATGCAACGCCAGAGGCGCCCGTAGTTTCTTGACTACTTTAATATTTAAACTGTCGATATAAGTTGGAGCGGTGATAAACATAAAGTTAAATCAAATTCGGACTAATTCAGGTCGTTCGTAAATTATACAAACGATAGCAAGCTATCGGCTTCTTCGTCGATATTTCATGTTTTATGTGTTTGATTTACCAAATTGATTATGTCTCTATATACGTTAATATGCGTAATTACATTTATAGTTTTTCTTTCTCGCGGATGGCTCGTAAAAATACGCTTTTTAATGGTCTATTTCGTTCGGAGGCCGCGATCGACTGTACACATGTATCTATATTGCTTTTATGAACACGTATATTTCGTCTCTTATTGTTATTTATGAGATTCCCTTTATAGTTAAATTTTTTTTAAATGTCATTTATAATTAAGTCGCCAGATATAAATGGAATTCGCATAGCTATTAACATAATTTTCGAAATTTTTTTATTACGTTATTTGATTTGAATATTTATTGTGACTAATAATCGCTTAAACAAATATATTTTGTTGATTTTTTTTATGAATTAAAAGATTCAGAAGCAGCAACGTTTCTTGTGAGAAGATCACAATCGAGTTAATTTATTAAATTTCTCATAACCTGTTGTTGATGATGAATAAGTTTATAATTTTTTATGTAAAACGAGATAGATATTCATGAAATTTAATTAGATATTGGAAACTTGATTACTTGATTTTAAAATAAAGTCTGTATAACCCCACTTAAATGTTGTAAGACTAAAAATGTAAGTCACTTACATTTTTAGCCTTATTAACTTTCATTTTTAGTATCCAATTGTTTCTTAATTTTACTTTGGGTGGGAATTCTCACAGTGATTGTCAACTTGCTGGAAACGATTTGAGACAAACTGCCGAACGTACTAAAATATTCCCTTATTTCCGTAACAAAATTCAACTTGTTGCATGGTGGAGTTAAAACTTAGTTAAAACGAGAGTTGAGCGATGCACTTGTTAAACTTCGGAATTGTTACACCTAAATAAAAATCATTAAGCTCTAAAGCTGTTGAACCTACTACCTTGTAGATAGCAAAAAATCGCGAGAAAGACAACCGGCCAAGTGCGAGTCGAACTCGCGCGCTAAGGGCCCCGTACCAATATCTACAAAAATGGAAAATAAACATACCTGTTGTATAGAATGGCCCACTTAAATATTCTGTTTTTTAGTATTTGTTGTTATAGCGGCAAAAGAAATACATCATCTGTGTAAATTTCTAACAATTGCAATAAAATTCAACTGGCTAACTATCATCGTTCATGAGATACATACTGGTGCCATATGGACAGAGAAACAGACAGACAGACAACGGAGTCTTAGTAATAGGGTACCATTTTACCTTTTGAGTACGAACCTTGAACAGGAGTTCGTTTACCATAATTGTCAATAAGCTATTTACTTAAAATATTTAAATAAATTGCAGATTTATTTATCAGCCTGATTCAACATAGTCATACAAAACGTTTAACAACTTTAAGGTCGTGTTATTATATCAAGTGAATTCGGTTGTTTGAATTATAACTTAAGCTTGTCGAAAGTATCTCAACAAATAAATGTACAAAAGAAAAACAACAGGATTACTTACCACCTTCAGGCAACGAATGAATTATGCGATATGAACGTCACTTTAAAGATTAAAAAAATATTTTTGACTGACAGTACAAAGTTTAATCGGATTTGTTCGAATTACACAATTGCGGTTTGTTGTAACGCAAGCTTATGTTAACGTACATTTTGTAGGAGACGCAATTAACTCTTAACAACTAAATTTACTCACGCAGTAATATTTAAGCAGTAAATGTTTGCGGTAAATCGATGAAGGCGTACTGAACTTTAACCTGTTCCGGGCAAATATAACGGCGTTTTTATGTGCATGCAGCGTAGGTGGCTGTTTGTCATAGATACTTTGATGGAATTGCATCTGCCTTAATCTACACGACCTACATGTGATACTACCAAGGATAATGTACTATAAAATAACTTTATTAATAAAACATATTTTGGTTTTCACCTATGAACCGGTTTGAAAAATTTATAACAAGGAAATTTTATAAAAAGGGTTATTATAATATAAATGAAGACTTTCATGATAACGCCTGGAATGAGATCATCGCTCCAAGTTATTCGTAAAAATATATGTTTAATATTTTAATGTTTTGACGGAAAAATGGCAAAAAAGAGGATGCCTTCGGAGTTTCTTTCACCTGTTTCTTTTTCAGTTAGAGGAACCACATTACGAAACGGTGGTAGATTTAAAAAACGACTATCGATACAATGAAATTTATGTTTCCTAAGCCGACGAATAAATGATTTAAATACAGTTGTGTAGCTGAAACTATCCTTTACAGTATAACTTGCATATGTATTTCCTTATGATATGATAGAAAATCTCTGAACAGTCAATACAGTTTTGGATATTTTTGTTGCGACATTAGACATCGTTTCGTATCACTAATTTAACGAAAAGGACAATGGAGCACTAACGTAAACGCAATTGTAGATAATACGGTTGGCATGGCAACCGTTATTTTACATTAACTGCTGGTACATGACTATGTTCCATCATATTAACTTTTTTAATTATAAATTACATTAAATGTTTATACAACCATACTAATGTTGTGCGTTTATTCTTTTTACCGACCTGGTGAGACATTGTTTTCAGTAGAAATTTCTAGGTAATTAATACATATCCTATGCAAATGTGCATACATAAGTAACCTGAAGACACCTTTTGTTTTGGTGTTTGATGACATGCCATTCACGATGGACGCTTCTCAGTTGCATGACTGTGTTGATCACCGCTCTACGTCTACATAGACCCAGAGCTGTGATCAGCGTTGTTGTTTATTCATCTGTAAACCTTATTTAAATTATTTATAATAATTGTTACAGAGCTCTTTTGATTTGTGACCAACGCTTTAGGAAATGTGCTGCAATATTCGTGTTATAATATGTACACTGGGTCGTAACATCTTTTACACCCTGGAGTGGTGAGAAAGGTCCGCGAAGATTTTCAGATTATGCAAATGAAGGATGTCATATGAATAAGTGCTGACATTTTTATAATTTATAAATATTCTTTATTATGTGACATTTAAAACTCGATATACTTTTCAGTTGGTGCAATGTAGTACTGTACCTACGTTATTTCATTTATTTATTTCAACATTTATGAGTATGCTTTGATTTAATGGTTTAAATATTCTGCGGAGCGAAATTTCAATCTTAGTGTCAACATTACATGTACAGAAAAATGTAAATGGTGAAAATCCTACACATACAGGAACAGGTACGAGCATTTAGAATGTAAAGTAAAAATTACGGTAGGGGCATGTGTAAAAAATTAACAACACTTAGAAAAACCTTAACGGAAACCCATAAGAGCAAACGTTGCCATTAAAATTAGTTATCGCGACTGTTAATTGAAGTTTCGCAGATTCGTGTTACATTGGCAGCGTTAGGTATTTCGGATTCTTAAATGCGTGATTCTGCTCTCATATTCGTCCATTAACGAGACGAGTCCGGCATAAGGGACTCTCGTTTCAGTGTTTTACAAGTTAATTTTATTGTTATTGCGAATTTTCGTTATCAGTACTAATTAATGCTTCGTTGTCGGAAATGAATTTCTTATCGACTTTGTTTATCGTCCTTCGTTTAAAGTTTTTAAATCTTGTACATAATGTTTAATAAGTGTTATTTTTGCTTGATGCAAATTCATTCTCAGTTACAAACTGTACCGGCGCTTTCTTTTCTCGTCACCTTATCACCCAATATGCCTAGCGTCGTGTCGTTGACACGCGAACAATTTCATTAACATATGTTTAGTTTTAGTTTGATTAATGCGAACTCTGAATCAACGTCCGGATCACTTTATTGATTGCGTTTCTCATCCGTCGTTGGTGAAACTCAGCCGCGAGATTACAAAAACATGCCAGTAATGAACAATGGATGCCATTTGTTCCTCGATGGGTGACGTAATCGCTTTAAAAAAAAAAAAAGATGAATTTACAAGTAATATCGATCAAACATACGATCAAGAAACTCACATCCGTCTGTTTTCCGACGCGTGACTGATTTAATGACATAAACCGGCAATTAGCAAACAAGATGGCGGCTCGAGCCCGCGTGACCAATGTCAATACCGCCATAAATCATCCGCCATATTTATTTCGACTATTGAACATATTTATTCTCGTTCGTCAGTTTCATTATCTTACCCGCCTGTTACACGTGATCGGTAGTTTTAATTGTCGTTTCAACCTTCACGATGATGTTCTTTTATTACATTATTTATATGCTGTGGGTTGAGTATACTAAGTGAGAACGAATGTATGATCGCCAACCAGCTATGTTGGTTTATTAGTATGTGTGTGCTACATTCTCTGCCTGTTTTCAATTTAGCTCTCCGAATATTGTTAACGCCTGAAAGCAGAACTCGAAATTGTAGTAGTTATAACATTTATGTAAAGTAACAGCCTATACATGTCCCACTGCTGGGCAAAGGCCTCCTCTATACAGAGGGTATCAGGGCACAGTCCACCACGCGGTCCCACTGCGGATTGGCGGACTTCACATATCTTCGAAAAATATATATTTTTTGTTATAATTCGAACATATGCAGGTTTCCTCACGATGTTTTCCTTCACCGCGGAGCACGTGATAAGTCAGCACTTAAAGTTAAAAACTTCATTGGTGCCGGCACCGGGGATCGAACTCAGGTTGCGCGAGTATATTGAAATAAAGGCGAGCGCCCGGACACTGAGCCATTACGGCTGATATATGTATATCAAGATTATTTTTGGTTTTAAGAAAATTAATAGGTTAGCTGTGCTCGATTAACTTTTAAATCGTTCTTGAGGTGGAAGCGACAATATCATCCAACTAGGGCAAAAGATGTGCATTTTTATTATTACCTAATGGTTGTACAAATTTAGCGATACACATGGTTGCAGTCTTTGTGATGTGAACATAGGGCCGATGAAAATAAGCCTTGTTCAGCAGTGGAATGGAACAGGTTGAAATGATGTTGATGATGAGGTTTCAATAAGGTGTTAATTAATAATTGGCTCTATCGAGCACATTATTTTTTTATTATCATAAAATATTGAATACTGATTCTTCCTTCCGCATTCAATGTTTCTTAAACCGTTTGAATATGTGTAAAATGCTGCAAAAACATTGTTAGTCGAGGAGGAGTTGAGAGCACAACCCTAATAAAAACCTTCGCACACGTCTAAAACTTCAAAATGTTACCTATATAACAAGAAATATCTCATACCTTTTCATTACATTATTACATTATCATTATTTACTTTTATATTGAATATAAATTTCAAGTTATACATTTTAATGACAAAGACCTTATCCGGTTTTAAAAAATCTGTTGATTCTTTCATAAAGTGTTATGGAACACAATATGGCATACCAACATGTACCTACATTTATGTTGGTATATTAATAATTTTATACGTTGTCTTCCTTTGTAACGGATGACATAATTCTGATAAGGTTGTATAACGAAATAATGAAAATGATGTCTCGTAGACTGCTTAATAGTACCTCATTTTTTTATTTGATGTATTGGTACTGGTACTGGTAACCACTAGTATAATTATTTTTCTTTAAATGAGTTACACTCAGACTTATATCTCTCCGATGTATTTAGTTCTGTGTATTTTTTGACATTTGTAACATAGAATTGCATAGAGATTAGATTAGATAAACGAAAGTTCTTGACGTAAGTCATTACAATATATCGTGTTAAAATTATGAAAAATGGTGTACCTCAGTAAGTACAAGGTCAGAAATGCTCTGTGTATCATATCATACATAAATTAATGGCAATCTTGGAGATGAGATTTTTGTAAAATACAAAGAAGTCTATATTTTAACGAAATAATTCGAGGCAAACTGAAAAATTTATTACTAATATGTACGCCAAGGACTAAGAATAAAAGTCTTAAAATCTAATGATGTCTTTAAATCTTTTAGATGATTACAAAATATATGATAATCAAGTATTAAGTAATTAAAACAAGCGATTTGGTAAGAGCTAAAGAAAGTTAGCATGGAGCAAAAAAAATTTTAATGCAGTTTCCTCTAAAAAGCCCTCATAATAGTGATAATGGACTCCTATCTCGCGTTAATTTTGAATGGAATATTTTATAAGGACAAACGTATGCACATATGGAACATCTCCCGCCACTTTTCTGGACAAGTTTAATTATGTCCAACGTTTTTAAAGGTCTGCTTTTATACATATGTATTGAAAGGATGCAATAGCTACCAAAATAAAACTTTAAATTCATCATTTAATTAAAAGTTTTTGTTTATGAAATAAGAAAAATGTAGTGTCGCCATACTTTTAGGTATATCTTTTAAATGTTGCATTTATCTCTTCGCGAGATCGGTTCCCATCGGTGGCTTGTAAGTGGAAAAGACTTTATGAGGACATGTAGACAAATATTAGTTAGTAATTAATGAAATTTATGTGGCTCCACTTATATCTTGTAGTATCTCGGACACTTATCTATCAGCCGTCAGATTGTCTTTTTTTTTTTGGAGTCGCTCTGACATTTCGAAAAATACCCAATTTATCTAAATGCCCCGGGTCGTGTTGCGGTCACACGTCTCTTTTTGTCTTACTCCCTAATGTCCGTCAGACAATGATTTACATAAATACATCATTAGACCTGAGTTAATTGACACATTTCACGATTTATACCTTATGTTGCACAGACGAAATCACATGGAATTTTTAGTGTCTTCGATATCGTTACTCGGAAACTAGTTTTCTTTTTTTTTCTCGTTCAATAAATTTATCGGCGGCATGTCCAAGTGTATTAAAGTAATACGTTCACACGAAACTATAAGTTTTGTGACTAAGCCTGGGAGAACTTTGGCGTTTTGCAACTTCCACGACTCTTTATGCAGTGGCCTGATTAATGTATGCGTTGAGTATAATCCAAACACCAATATATCCGATAGCATTGCTTTGAAATAATATAAACAATCGCCTGATGATAAAACTTAAACGTTACGGTACTACTCCACATATACAATGTCATAATTCGTTCAATATGGCCTCATAAAAATAAACAAAAGCGCTAGTTTATGTTTTGCCGCAAAGAATTGATAACATTCAAATAAAGGAAGCGTTTGTTTCCTAAATCAAATCCACGGCCCCTTTGATCAGCCATCGAAACAACCAATCAGCGATATCTGATCAGAAGTATTCTCGGGACGTGGTATAAACAGAGAGAAAGAATAAAAGTATGGTTCAATCAGAATTAGTGCAATAAAGAACTGTGAGAAAAAATAGGAGCGTCATCAATGTGGCAACACTGGCCGCGCGCCATTGTTGACGGGAACAACATGGCCGCCGATTTGTTGGCGCGTTAATCATAACGATTGCGCGTACAAATTTACGCCATATTTTCTCATGTAAAGGGAATAAGTCGCGCTGTTTGATCGGGATGTATATTTCGGGTCGGCATCGGTCCCGGCCGCTCGTAAAATCCTTCGATAATGTTTGTTGAATCGGATCATCTGTTCAAGAATGGCCGGTGAGTGTTTGTTTTCTATCATTCGCTGGCCGAATGTTATGTTCGATTTCGCTAGTTAGCGTTGTTTTGACAGTCTCACTCGTTCCCGCGCGCCGATAACGCTGTCTTCGCCCCTTCCATGTGCGCCCCAAATTGGATCTCTCCTCGCGCACTCGAGGAGATTTATATGGGAAGACAACGGATCACGCCGCGGAGATCGGCGGTACACTCGCTGCTATACTGCGCAGGCTTTGAGGCGCGCGACGTCGCGTCTTTGCCAAAAATCGTCGGTAATTTTGAATTATCGCCTCTACGCCGGGAATGTGTACACGCGTAGAAACATTATTTACGGCTGTTCCGTGTGCACGCGACGTTCCCCCCTCGACAATAGCACGTCTTTCTTAACGCGATCACATCCGATACGTTCTGTAAACGGCGTGCATTGGTGGAGATCGATAAAAAACACTCCTCCGCCGCGCTTTCCGTCTATCGTCTCAAAACTCCGAGCAAGGCGCGCACCCGCCGTACTCACGGGACTAAATCAATATGATATGACAGTTACGGTCAATTTATGGCCCTCGGTTAATTACAAACGGGTGCGGCGCCGGGGGAGATGGTGAGGCGCGGTGCGGAGGGGGGAGGGGAGTACATCTAATGACTTGTAAAGATGCTGCCGCGAGTGCGTTATCTCGTGCCCAGTGGATTGAGGCCGATTCGGTGGGCTATTTAAAGGGACCTCTGCTAAGTTTGCTTAATCGTGGTACAGAATGAAGCACAGGTTTTTGCCGCGGTGATTGATAGGATTCAGTTGAAACAAACACGTTTTTTTTAGTTAGTCTTTTAACATTAGTTAATCCCATTAGCTAGGCACATTGTACATTGGTTTGGGTTTTCACACGAAAACACTAACTAATATATATATTTAATAGATATAATTAACCTCCGCCTTAACGTCGTAAATATCTCTTTATTTTCCCGCCTTTTAATATTTCACTTATAGGTAGGTACTGAACTTGTTTGGGACAGCACCCAGTATTAGCAATTGGTGAGTGACGCCAGACTTTAAACTTGTGTTTTTTTTTTACAATAGTTCTAATATTACAATGACAGGCGAGAATCAGCTACTACTGATACTGTGTTGATACTGTGTTTATTGAATTGTTGCTATTGTGTAACACCAATATTCATTAACAATTTCATTATAAATTAATTTCATTTGCCGCAGTTGCCCAGCGTGTGGTAGTTCGCCGAAGCACGAACAAAATTACACATGTTCATAGCGTTAGTTCATAAACTCATCAATAAGTCAACTGTTCGAACATATTTTGAGTGTGAAATAATCCTATTTAACGTCATTAAAACACGGATAGACACAATGCTAACAATGATCTTATTCGAGCCCAACGTTTCCAATGCATTACGCAAACAAATGTTACAGCAGCTTACGTCAAGTTACTTTATGTAGTCGATCTTCGAACGATACAGATCTCGGACGATCGCGATCGGTGTATAAATGTTTATTGGCTACGATGCTATCGGATGCGGCATCTGTACGCCGTGCAGGTGAATACGGGGGGCGCCGGTAAGTCATGCTAATGCCGAGAGGTCGCCCAAGTGTTAAATGTCCGTTCTGTCACGTCATAGCGCGATTTTGCCGTCATGTAGAGGGATTTTCAACCGACTATGAAAAAGGTTGAGGTTCTAATGTTTGCTAGCTCAGAACACCACCATTTAGGGACGGATTTTAAAAGTTCCTTTTGCATTGGATTCGGCTAAGCTCCCGTGTCTTATTTTAATTTCTTTGATTTTTGACCTTAGATGCCGGAGATAAATCAGGGAACTGTACTAAAAATGTATCGTGATTGAGATTTCATTTTCGTTATCTAGCTAGAACGAAGCTGTAAGTTTTGTTGTATATGTATTTTCTGTATTTTCTCGGTAAATTTTTGGAAATCTGTTAAAATAATAAATGCTTAAACCTATAGTATATATAGTATCAACCTACTAAGTCCTTGAGACTTATAAACTACTAAGTAACTTAAAATGTAAATAAACAACTGTTAGACTCAGTCAAGCACATATATTCGCTTATAATGTGAGTTCGTCCCAATGCGTTTAATTTAGGAGCTTTCGTTCAATAGCTTTCTAATACTACCGTATACAGCAGTCAGTTCCGTGTCCATAAATTTAATATGTTTACGTTTAAAAAAATATCAGAAAAACTGTGCAATATGGCCTTATCTTCTATCTAGTGTCGTGTGTTGAGCAAAGGTTACCTGGCTTCGACATGAAGGTCGTAGTATGAGTTACATAAATCTATAAGCATTCATCTTATTTGTGATAGCGCTTACAAAATAGATCGTTATGTATAAGCTATTTTTATTGTACCCGCAACAATCCATCCACAAGTGTAGAATTTTTAATTCTAATAGCAGTGTTTTAGATCAAATTTTTAATGATTTAGAGCTAATTAATAAGAACTATTTTACATAATAAATTTCAAAAACAAAGCTCGATGTGTCACTAACTTCACGATGTTATATACTTAGATATTAGCTGTAGGATAGTATCATACAAATAAATGTTTCGTGTAGAAATCGAACCTTTGACTTTAGGCGTCGGACTTGGCGAACACGCTACCATGTCCCAAATAAGTATTGGATTTTTTTGTATACTTGACACATGTTAAAAAGGACTCATTAACTAACTCACAATTTTTTTTTGCTTGTTCTACAACATCCTTACAACCCTATCAAACTAAATTACGATAAAAAAATTGTTTATTTTTCTTGAGGCATCAAACGTTTCTCTATGAGGCATAAATCAAACCTAACAAACGTGCTCAGGTTGACATATGTTGCACCTGCAACACCGACAGCTGTTAAAAATGGAAATTTTCAATATCGTACGAAGTTTCGTAGTGATGTGCCTAGTCTGCGAGTTTTTTTTTTTCACTAAACAAGAAACATTCGACAGTTACTTGAATAATGGGCAGCAGTATATGCAAGAGTTTTGGCATGTTATTTTTATGTTTCTCCTAATCAGACGTTTCATTTAAATTTTTTAGATTTCGTGTTTTTTTTATGAAAAAAAAGAATCGAACGAGCTCACTCGGGATCGGAGGCTCACCTCCTGGTAAGTGATCATAGCCGCCCATGGACACCTGCAACACCCGAGGGCTTGCAAATGTGGTTTTCAATGGCAGCAAGTATTATATTAAAATATGTAGAAATTAAAATATGTAGAAAAAGTATTATATTTTGAAGTCTATGACAGGTAGTATGCGATTATTCGATACAAAAAAAAAAGCACGATCTGACCAATCCGACTAGCAAGGCCAAAAAACAATCCGTATACAAATATAGGAGGAATTATATACGAAGGTGGTAAAAGCTATTCCGTCGCAAAAACGGCCGCGTCCCTTCCGTGGTTTCGCTGACAACTAGCCACGCGAATATCGACCTACTTGCCCATTACGCTGCTCGGCCGGGCCCGTCAGCTGTCGATCATTCCGCGTATCAATCAGGCGGTCGGACGAGCGCCAGCGGCCGTGACGCGGTTGGAAAACAACGCGCCACTCTTCCACAATCTGCGAGTCGCCATCGGCATGTTTATAAATCAATGACGTTCCAGAACAAATATGTCACATCTGTCTGTCATATGGGCGAAGGTCCTTCTGCTATGTCCATTATTGGATCGAACGTTACCAGTTACGTTACGTTCAGAATCGAATCGTCAAAATTTCCTTATTCTATACAGGTTTATTTTAAACTCTTATTCAACGTCAAGAAACTAAAAGGAACCGGATCACTAAACTACAACTGTCCAGAGAAGGTCCGGTAAGAAAGTCCGAGGTTTTCTTATAATTTTTTAAATGCTATAAGTAAATAAGTAAAACCGGCCATGTGCGAGTCGGAATGGGGCACGCAGGGCACCGTACCATTATCTATAACAAGTCCATTTTTATTAACGTAAAACAAAACCGACTTCAAATATCCGCTCTGCATTTCATAATTGATTTTCAGGAGTCCCAAGTTTCTCCGGAGCCCAAGATCCAATACCATTGAAATTAATATGGGACCACATGGGAAGCACCAGCTTTCAAATAAATAAAGAATCATCAAAATCGGTTCTCTAAAGTTCCGAGGTAACAACCATAAAAAATACAGTCGAATTGAGATCCTCCTCTTTTTTGAAGTCGGTTGAAAACGGTAAAAAATCATCTCAATATGAGAGCACCACTTAAATATTTTTTATTCGTTTTTTTAGTATTTGTTATCATAACGGCAACAGAAATACATCATCTCTGAAAGTTTCCATTGTCTAACTATCACGGTTCATGAGATACAGCCTGGTGACAGACGGACAGACAGACAGACGGACAGACAGACAGACGGACAGGCGGACAGACAGACAGACAGGCAGAACAAGAGACAGAAGACAGACAGCAGTATCTTAGTAATAGTGTCCGGTTTAACTTTTGGGTACAAAATCCTAAAAAGTGGTATAAAATCGATCATGTATTAACATCCGTCACCCCTGAAATTGAGTACGAATATTAACGTAAGAGAGGAGAAGAGTGACAGCCTAAACTGTATTTTAGAAGCAAATTGTATAGTTCTCTTTCTCTGCGTTATATCTTTCTTCTCTCGCAGAAATAGAGATTCCACCCTCAATTCTCATCCAGCTATCGAATCCTAAGATGTTACACTAAAATAAAAACTTTTGCTTACTTCATTGACATTGATATTTTATGGATACCTGACGATATCTATTGCGCCCTTGATTTGATTTTTGATTATTCGTATATCTACGTCGTTGACCAATACGACTGATTAAAAGTGATTTTCGTTCCAATAAAAACGGTTTTTGCGTCGCGCCGAGAGCCAAACGGTGTTCGTTTTCACCCAGGATAAGCGAAAGCGATCCTTATGCCGTTGCATCAGGGGCGAGTCGCGCCACCAGGACAATTGAGCGCGGGAAAATATGCATCGTAATTATATCGAATCAGGCGGGCCGTCTGTCCGCGTGTCAATCAAAACGAGACGTGGCACTGATGCGGATTGATTGGATCCAGTCTAGATAAAATCTGTCCGCGCGATATGCGCTCGTGGCGATATTTCTGTGATCGCCAGTTTCCAGGGGCGATGCGTGCGCTCGAGCGACTTGCCTGTCGTAATGAGGAAATTTTTTTTATTTACGATATCGAGTAATGTTTTCAAATTAAGTCAAAGCTGTTTCTTTATTACATTTTGTTTGTGTGTTAGTGTTGTATTTGTGGTAGCATTCAAATCTATGTACTTGCGTATTCCGGACAAATTTTTAGTGAGTATTTACTTGTTTACACTTATTTGTAATACATTTAGAGGACGCTACATTGGAAAGAGTTCTTAAGAAATTCGGCGATAAAAGATGTGTGAAATTTTTCCTGTCATTATTATTTTATTCTTTGGTATCTATCACTATCGTCGTATTTGGGACATCAGACAGCATTCTTCTTCGCATTTCCGACGACATTCGAGGACCACAGTTTGTTGATGTACTTTGATTAGTTGGTGAGTTTGAATTTATTAAGATGATGGTTATTTTTAAAATACTGACATTATCATAACTAGCATTTATCCAGGACATGAGGATAAAAAATAATCACCATATCTTTATGTATATAAAAATAGCATAAAATTTAAAAATAACTACGTCATAATTTAACTGTGGTAAGGTCAACAGTGTACGCTGTTGCACAAATGGGCAGGTCCGTCCGGGAAATTACCACAACCTCACAAAACATCGGCGTGAAGTAGAAGTGTTACACCTTTGCGTCTGGTGAATGAGGTAGCCGGGGTCCACTTTAATATAAGGTGGCGACACAGTAGCAACCCTACTTGTATCTTGTATTAACTGATGTTTTTGCTTTCAGTACCGAGACTATTAAAGCTTCATCTGACGTAGAACCGGTGGACTAGCCAGAACCCACGGGTTTGGGCCCTCCGCTGTGGGTAGGGCCACGCATGTGTTCATGCGTGCGTTTAACTATGGTGTGTCATCTAAGGGCCATCGAGGTCGCGGTTCGGACTGAAACCCCGATAAGCAACCTTACGCCATGGACATTAGCAACGGGTGTTGCTAATGTCCATGGGCGGCGGTTATCACTTAACATCAGGTGAACCGCCAGCTTCTTTACCACATTCTCGCTTGTAACAAAAATATGGTCTCTATTTTCACCAAAATACTCAATATTATAAATCTTCGTGTCAGATTATGTACGATGATATTTGTCCTATTAATAGATGTCTAGAACCGCGGACCAGTCCACCTGACCTGCCTATGTCAAACAAAGCAAACTTACATATTATCACGCTAATACTAGTACACTCAAAAGCCAATTTTTCATTCGAATGCAATGTCACCTTTTAATTATGTTACATTAAGAATTTTGAACATACATAGCGGGTGGCCATTAATTCTATTGTCAATTTATTTCCGAAGCCCGTTCTGCCTTGTCTTTTGTAACTTGATGTAACACATAAGTGTTGTTTACGTACATATAAATTTAGAACTTCTTTTCTGTTATCAGCAAACTGTGGGAAATGAATAAACTAATATTAATATTAAATTCCTGCTTACTTTTAATGTAGCTACGACCTGTGTGATGATGCTAATGTTCGGAATTAATTACGATCGACCTTTTTTATACATTCCAGTAACAACTTTTGCTTCACGATGTTCGATTATTTAGATCTTTTTCTCATAAGTAAGAAAGCTAAAACTTGCTACAAAATTGTGTTTATAAAAAACTAAAGGGGCAGTTCGTTAAACAGTTGTCACGGTAACATTTAACGTCCTGGACTTGTGGACGTCCTGTGCACTTTAACGAGCCTTTTAAATTAGGCGGCCGGGGTCACGATTCGCACGGAAAGTTGCATTTCAAACGTCAATTGGTCATTTCAATATCGAGTTATCATTCGTCCATCGCCATTGTTCGTCCGCAAATATCCGTTCGCCGCCGACATTTTTACAGCCTCGTGTGAAACTCCGCATAATTATTATGCATCGGGCGAACGTTCCTTATATAGGTGATGGATATGTTCCTATTTTATTGGCACGCTCATTTCCAAGGGCTCTTAGACGTTACGATACGACTGCGATGCGGATTTTCTACTTTACCGAAATGTGAAAAATAAAAAGGCTTATCAATTTAACTACATTTTTAAATAAAGGCGGTATGTAAATGTTAAACGATGACAATAGAATTTTGCACGAATTAAGTATACTTTATTTAACTAGTGTCTAAACATTATATTTATACCATAACTGGTCATCTGTTACTCTCTATTTAACTTTTTTATTTCATCTTAACTTAAAGACTAAACCATGTAATCCTTATAATGCACCCAGTACTCTTCACTACTTAAAAATTTGATTTGTATTCCTAATTTTCGTCTTAACTTATTACCGTATCTTTAATGTTCATCTCGCACATAAACTGCTAAAAGTCGTAAAGTGGTCGTGTCGTATAATCGCTGAGCGCCGTCAGTTTTGTTTTATGCCGCATCGACATGGGAAATAATTGCACTGCTGACCTTTCCCGGCATGCAAATCGATGCGCCCAGTCGCTATGGTGTGAATTTCAATGGGCACCTTTCGATGGCCGTGCAAGGGACACGCTACAACTGTCGTCCGTGTACAGTTTGCAGCATAGATGGAGTCCCCCGATGCCCGCCGCCCGATCCTGTCGCTATGACCCGAATTCGAGCACGACTGTACCTGTTGGATGAACTGATAAGAAGCGTACAGTCACCGTGGTAAATTCACCGTACCCGTAAATACGTCGTGGTAAATGTACCGCTTTTATTTGGTTCAGCTTGCGCTAAGCGTTTGTGTTGTTACTGTTCTCCATGAGTACTTTCTTGCATATCTCATTAAATTATTTTTGTTTTCGACATCATGGGTGAACCATGCGCGATTATAATTATTATTTAACTATCTCATTCAGTTAAGGATTAAGGTTATGTAAAGAATAAAATATATAAACTGCCTACATCGGTTTAAATTATAAATATTTATGGCAGGGTATCTGATGGCTTATTGCCATAGATAACACTGATAACAATAATTACGTAAATCTCAACACAAAATGTTCTAAATCGTGTTGAGTGGTACCATTTAGGGGTGTTACTTAAAATCTTAATATACCTTTTAAGCTGAGTTTGTCTCCGATAGACAAAGTCGATTTGTTTCTGAGACAAAGTCAATTGTTCGCCGCGTATTAGAGTCGTATAAGCGTGTGCCCTTATACAGAGGTAGACACTCGACCTTCGTCCCTAACCCGATGTCACGATCCGATGTCATTGAAATGGAGTTCTGATACGACTTCGGCGACACAGAAATTTCTACACGAAGGAAATAGACGGGCGAGATCTAGAAACAAAAGCAGCGCCTATTAACCCTAGGTCGAACAGAGTCATTTTTCGATATAAACTGGCTCGTCTAGATAAGTAGATAGAATCCTCGATAGCTGGTATTACGAACTGGTATTATTATTTTTATACATAGCCCTTTTTAACTGTGGTAGAACTACGCAGAAGATTTTTTATTGCATTATAAGGCAATCATTTTTTCAGCCGTGTTTCAAAACCTCAAAGAAAGCTCGTGTAAAATTACAGTATTCTTGGTTGGCATGCGAACTGGCGGTTCATTCCTGATTTTAAGTGAATAGAATACTTATGGATATTTACACCCCTTTAACGAAAAAGCGCTTTGCTATTTACATCAAAACCTATGCTGGCAACGAGAGGCGATATAGAGCAACGGACGCGTCTATTGTTGGCGCTGAACAGGCGTCGGACAACGCGGCTGGACCATACGCTAAAGCGCCGCCGCGACCGCCGAAAGCGCGGTCGACAACCAAATTAACCGTTTTTGATGGACGCCCGAAATCCTACAATGATGCGTCCCGACCCTTACTAACGTCACTTTTGTTTACGTTGTCGTTTTGCGTTTTAGTCAGATTATATATTTCAATCAGCTTCAATATACTAATACTGTTTGGACTGCGATACTAGTAGAGGCTATAAATGCCTACAGAAGCTGAAACTAGAAAAATTGTAAAAAGGTCAAATACCTAAATGTTCGTCTCGGGCGTTAATCAAATTAAAGGCCCACAGAAATGAAAATTATAGCTTTATGTTTGAACCAGCCTAGCTTTCAATTATTACTGTTTTTTTTTTTCTCTAAAAAATGATAAGACTACTTTAGAAATGATTCAATATATTAAGCATTAGTATTAAATATATATATGTAACAATGGTCTGCCAGATTGTCCTCTATAGTATTGTCAATATACTTATATTTTGATTGCCCATCAGAAGATTGATCACAAAATATTGCACTGAAATAAGTCTGAGATATACTAATCATCACGGCTTTTACGTCGCTGCTTTTAAGACAGTGGAAATTGCAATTTAAGTGTTTCAAACATTTGTGGTTTCAAACATTTGATCGACTTTTCTGAAGCGCACAAATGGTAGCGTCCAACCCTGTCCTATCTGCGTTGTACGAAATAATACCAGCTTGTCAATCACGGCGCGTGGCGTTCGCCGCTTTGCTAATTTTGCGGAGAATTCGCGGTCGCTCTTGTTTGCAACGCTAATTTATGGTTTAGGCGCAATTGTTCACTTAATACCTTGAACCCTGTATAATATTTTCATTGTCAACCAGTGGGGGTTGCGAGGAGGGCTCTTGGCATTGTCCGGCCACAGGAAGTTGAGGATCTTGCCAAATATCGAACTATTCCGTTCTGTGGCAGGTGATTGAATATATAGTCGTATTGATACGGCGTACAGTGGGGTGTTTAACCTAATGGATAAGCATTTGCTACTGTGGCTGTTTCAAGTCAGTGTGTTTCTCTACTTGTAAGGGTACAAGCCGTATACTACACAAAATATTGGCTCATATTTGGGTTGATACCTGAAGAGTCGATCTCAGTAAATTATTACGTTGCGTTTCATTCGGTCCATATAATATTGGACCCATAAAATTGTCGCCGACGGTGCTCTTGGTTTTAGAGATTTAAATGGAAATCAC